GCGGGAGGACGGGGAAGAGATCTCCGCCGAGTACACAGGAGCGACCATCAAGGCGTAGCCGACCCCGACGCCCGCGATGCACCTCCCGGAGAAGAGCATGCCGTAGTTGAGGCCCAAGCCCATCAAGACCGCCCCTACAAAGAAGATGATGGAGGCAACGACGATGGTGTAGCGCCGGCCGATCCAGTCGGACAGCCTCCCGGCGGTCAAGGATCCGACCAACGCGCATATGTTCATGATCCCCGCAAGCACCTCCACCTGCTCATCCTGTATGTTGAGATCCTCCTTCATGAACAGCATGGCGCCGCTCATCACTCCGGTATCTGCGCATCCATCGATCATCATTCAACACGCGCGCATGCATGCACGCAACCAATTAAAAAGGAACGAGATGGAGGAGAGAACAGATCACCGTAGCCCATCAAGATGGAGATGATGGAAGCGATGATAGCACAGGCAAAGGCATACGTTTTCGCTCCTCTTGCCGACACACCGCTCTCTCCCTGTCCCTCCATCTTCTCTCTCTCTCTCTCTCTCGATGCAATAGCTTCTGCAATCTCTTATATATATAGACCAAAGCTCAACGACAATATCTTAATTATGGATCGATAGACACTGATCCGAAAGTGAGTTTACGTGGAAAGAACACGATGACCACAAGCCATCCGATCTGCGGGGAGCTGTAGGGTTCTACGTAGATCCCACCGCAGGCTGGCCATCCGTTAATCGATTCTTATCCATTCGTTGTGCATGTCTTGTGACCTTCTTCGATATGTCTACTATTTTGTCCATGGAATCGGAAATCGAAAACCTATTATATTTGTTGACACAAAAGGGAGCGGTTTCTAAGATTCTTTACATCATACCGATCTCTATGGAAATGAATAGAAAATGAGCAAAAAGGATTGTGGTGTCATCAATTTTCTAGACATCAATTGGATATGAAAAAGCAAAAGATTGACTTGCCATCTTTTGTTCATACTTACATGGAAAAAGCATTATGGTATTATCAATTTCCTAATATCAATCGAACATTAAAAGCAAAAGATTGACTTGCCCTCTTTCGTTCATACTCAAATGTAAAGAAAGTCAAAATAAGAATCCTGCGGACATGTCCCACTTTGCGACTGGAACGGAGACGGTGGGCGGGGACAGTTTAGAGTACTCCCCACCCTATCTCCTAACAGTCCTCACCTATTTATATTATTATATTATATTATATTATATTATATATAATAATATTTATCGATAATATATATATATTTGAGAATTAAATCTAATACCGATAACTTTAACAGTCCAACATTAACCACTAAATTAATCTCGTTTTAAAATTTTTAATATATTTAAAAATTTATTAACAATAATAGTAAATGTAAATAAACTATTTTATCAAATGTTCAAAATCCTAATGAAGATTTACATCAGTTATTTTTAAGTTTTTATTGCTAGACACTTCATATATATATATATTTTTACATAGGATCTATCTTGCACGTGTAACTAAGCATGAAAATTGAAAAAAAAAGATTATTGGAGAAAATTATTGATTTATAGAGCTATTTGGATATATTTGATTGCATTTATATTTGTATATATTTTTATTCTTTTATAATTGAATATATTTGTATTTAAATATAATAATAATAATAATTTATAAAATTTGATAATATTATTTAGTCTTATTAAAAGTTGAATGGATTAATTATGAGAATATAAAAAATCTATGAATGAGATAAGAATATCAGATGGTGTAGCTCTGATATTATTAATTTATTTTAATAATAATTTTTTTATTTAAAACTGAATGAATGAATTAATTAAATATATATAAAAATACTGTTCCTGTTGTCTCTCTGCCTAAGTAAAATTATTGATAGCCTAAGTAATCAGAAGCATAAAATGGTTTGGCCATTGCAAGTTGATCGTTTGTGTTATGGAGTCAATCTATTATGATTGATTGTAACATTCTTCTCAATTATACAATCATACAATATGTTATGATAAATATATTTCTCGATAAAATAATTATGATAATATTTTTTCAAACAAAAAAACACATTAACTGAGAAAAATTAAGGTTGATTTTTTTATGACATTTTTTAATCGAATTATAAACATATCTCATGACATCATTAATATTATTTTGTATAATCTTGATTGAGAGTTAATCATCGTAGCAAAGAATACTTTATAAAAACTCAAAATTATGTTGGGAAAATACGACAAAGAAGAGGATAAAAATACTATGGAAACAAATAATAAACACAAGATCAAGAATACTTTAGGAAAGATATTTAGGCTTGAAACATATATAAACACTTTCCTAAAAACGATATTTGCACATTCTTCTCAACAAGATTGCTATGAGTTTGATGCAAATAGTTTTAGTGGATATGATAAGCCTTTAGAAGATCTGTATTGAGTAAACAATAAAGAATCTTCAAAGAGGAATTAGAGAATATCTAATTCAATCACTTGGAGAGTAAAGAAGAAGAATATGAAAAAGATGTCATAATAATTTACCCTCAAATATCTATTTATAGATATTTTATCAAAAGACAACATTTGAAAAATAACTACCAAAATAACTATAAAAGAAACATCTTTTCAAATAAATCTTTTGAAAAGAAATTCTTTTTTCTTTTTATTTTGAACATTTTATAACAATCCCCCACTTGTTCAAATTTAAAATTTTCTCCAAGTGATTAAATAGTATTTATGAATAAAGTAATATATCTTTCGATTTGAACATTACCTTAGTGTAAGCATCACGAAGTGAAGTCGAAATCCCAAATAGCATAAAAGCTTTGAATTTGTTATTCCTAATGACAACACCGGTGATACCACACACATAAATACAATATCCTTGTATTCCTCATAAAATCTCGCTCAGCCCTAATATGGCTTTGGGCTCATCCAAGTTCATGAACTTTTATGAGAGAAAACTCCAACTCTCAATCGAAGCGGCACCACTTCTAAGTTCATATAGGTGAAGTTCTTATAGTATCTTTGTCACTCTTTGAGATACTTGTCCTAACTTGACTGAACTTCATTAAGAGTATAATTAACTCAACCCTCATTCGGTGACAACCAACACTTTAACATCTTTAGATGGGACTCATAAAATATTTCAAAGTGCTGAACCACTCCACATGTCAATGACTTGTTCTTACCCTTCTTCATTACTCATTTCATAATGTTGAGTAGGGTTGCTATCATTAGTGGATCTTTCATTCAAGGAGTTTTAGCCCCATCTATTTTGATGTTGATCTTACAACTTCTCTTGTAAGATGTTTGGTGAATAGATCATCTTCCACTTGTAAAACAAGAGGAATTGTTTTTGCTTTTCGTACACGAGTGCTTCTCCTTAATCTATGAGATTGCTCTCCAACCTCTTGTGAACTCGATTGATGTCAAATCAAATGAATATTAGATTGCTCACCAACCTTTTGAGATGTCTCCACTAGTGACTCTTCAATAGCTGGAGGATGAACATTATTACTTGAAGTCATTAAATGTTCAAAGAACTCCACGTCTCGAGATTCTATTATGATATTAGACTTCAAATTAGGAAGTCTATATACTTTGCTATTTGAGGTATAGCCTATAAATGCACATTTGATTCCTCTAGGTCCCAACTTTGACCTTTGAGGATCATTATTCTTACAATATGCAAGACACCCCCATACTTTAAAATAATCAATGTTAGGTTGTCTTCCTTTCTATAACTCATATGGAGAGATCTTATTCTTTTTAAAATATGACATGCAGCCAATAAAGCTTCTCCCCATAAATTATAAGATAATTTAGCATGCAACAACATAACATTAATCATCTCTAGATAAGTTCTATTCTTTCTTTTTGCTAATCTATTTTGCTCGGGTGTTCTAGGTGCTGAACATTCTTGAATTATGCTATGTTATTCACAAAACAAGTTAAATTCATTAGGAAAGTATTCTCCTCCTCTATCACTTTTTAAAATTTTAATTTTCTTCCTCAATTGATTTTCAACTTCTACTTTATGTCTTAAAAGCATCATTTTTATGTTTCAATAAGTACACATATGTGAATCTAAACATATCATCTATGAAATATCTATTACCTCCTCTCGTTAATATGTCATTTAATTCACATATATCAGAATGTATTAAGTCTAACAAATTAGTATATCTTTTAACACTTTTGAATTGTTTCTTCATCATCTTTGATTTAACATAAATTTTACATTTATTAAGACCATCAAAATGATAATTTATTAAACCATACTTAACCATTCTTCTAATGGTGCTAGTTCCAATATGTGCTAATTTATCATGCCATAATGAATAAGAATCAACAATATAAATGGAAGCAACATCTTTATTAAATTTAGAATCATTGTCAACAATAGATAATTTGACCATTCCCTCAACAGAATAGTCTTTTCCAACAAAAGTTCCATTACAGGATAGAATTAACTTTTCGGATTCAAATACGGATTTAATTCCAGGTTTGCTAAGGAGATTCCCACTTACTAAATTTCTACTCATATCCGGTACATGAAGAACATTAGTAAGAGTGACTTCCTTACCCGAAGTGAAAGTGAGTTCCACATTTCCTTTGCCAATCACCTTAGAACGAACTTCATTTCCCATTTGAATCTCTTGCCCTTTTGTGACTTCTTTGTAAGTCTTGAAGAGTGCCTTATTATAGCAAACATGGACGGTAGCACAAGTGTCGTACCACCAACCAGAAACCTTGTTAAATATGGCATTCACTTCGCTCACCATAGCGATTATATTATCATCTCCCTCAACGGAGTTGACTTCCAATTTCTGGCCCTTTTTAAATCTGTAATCCCTAGCAAAATGACCAGGTTTTCCACAAACAAAACAGCCTCCACTCTTTGGCTTCTTAAATTTTCTTTGATCCCTTTTGGGGCCAAAATGATTCTCTTTGTTTTGTTTGCCTTTGTTGAAATTCTTAGGCCGATTCACAACATTTGATTTTATATTGCCAAAAGAGTTTTCACTCTTGTCTCTCATGCTCGATTCCTCCTTGATTTGAAGATGTTTTTGAATTTGCTCCAAAGTGATATCCTTGGCGTCATGCAAAATCTTTTTCCTATACTCTTTCTAAGATGAAGGCAACTTGGCTATTATAGCCCCTACTTGAAAAGGTTCAGGAAGTTTGATTTTTTCAGCCTTCAATTGATTAACAATGACCTGCAACTCATGCACTTGTGCCAAGATTGGCTTGTCATCCACAAACTTGTAATTAAAATATTTAGAAATTAAAATTTTCTTTGTACCTTCCTCCTCGGCATGATACTTGAATTCCAAAGCATTCCAAATTACTTTTGCAAATAGTTCCACCGTATAAAGATCATAAAGTCGATCCGAAAGAGCATTGAGAATGTGTCCTCTACACATGACTTCATCTTCAATTCTCTTCTTCTGTTCAGCCTTGACTTCATCGATGTCATCGTCGGTTGGATCAGGAATTGGTTGAAGATTTGGATCAAGCACATAGAAGATCTTCAAAGCAGTCAATATGAACTTCATCTTGTCTTGCCAACGGGTAAAATTCGTTTCAACAAAACGATCCAAACGAACAAAATCTTGATTTAATAATTTGATGGTATTTGTAGCCTCCATGGTGAATTTGTATAAACTCACAAAATATCGTTTTTAGATTGTTAGGAAAATACGATAAAGAAGAGGATAAAAACACTATGGAAACAAATAACAAACACAAGATCAAGAATACTTTAGGAAAGATATTTAGGCTTAAAACGTATATAAACACTTTCCTAAAAACGATATTTGCACCATCTTTTCAACAAGATTACTATGGGTTTGATGCAAATAGTTTTAGTGGATATGACAAGTCTTTAGAAGATCTTGAGCAAACAATAAAAAATCTTTAAAGAGAAATTAGAAAATATCTAATTCAATCACTTCGAGTAAAGAAGAAGAATATGAAAATGATGTCATAATAATTTACCCTTAAATATCTATTTATAGATATTTTCTCAAAAGATAACCTTTGAAAATTAACTATCAAAATAACTATAAAAGAAAACACCTTTTCAAATAAATCTTTTGAAAATAAATTCTTTTTTCTTTTTAATTTAAACAATTTATAACAAATTATTCCTTCAGATTTTTTTCAAATCATATTCAAAACTCAATATAGTAGTTTTTTCTTTCTTCTTTTTGTAAAGCATAAATAAGAAGATGAGATTTGATCTCAATATCCTGCTATTAATAATAATAACATTTTCTAATGCAATAGTTTCAGACACCACTAGTCTCTCACACACACATAGAAAACAAATAAATTTTGGAGTCCAGAAAAATCTCAACAATCAAAAAATAATTAATGAAATTATATTTCCTTATCCATTATATGTCAAGTTGGACATAAGCTCCTTCAACCTATCTCTTAAGGAACTTCCAATCATTCACACAATAATATCACATGACACATACTAAGAAAAAAAAGACAAGCAATAATTTCAATCAATTTGGAGTTAGTGGTGGATTTGATTCATCCCATTGATAATTAAGATGTCAACCAAATCAACTGACAAGATCTTATTAGAAACAATAAAAACGGATATAAATGTTCATGTCTCATATAATCGAGCCTTCTTCGACCAACAAAGTATAATTAACACCCAAAACCTATGAAAACCCCAATTTGTTTATAGCTTTACTCAATTTGATTTCCTAAATACGATACAATCCCAAGTTTATCATTGGTGACACAAACCATTGGCGTAAGCTACTTTGACTTGAACGGTCGTAGCTCAGAAGGTAACAGCTCAGCCACAACGTCAGCGTAAACCTTGAAAGACGAGAAGCGAAGCCGGACGATGGTTCACGTCTCTGATACGTGCACGGATCTCGATGCCATCGAGAAGATAGACGGTTGGATCACCTCTTAGAGTTCGACGTGAACGGCTGATCTCTTGTCCGCATAATTCTCGTCGTACGAACGTTGCTGTCTTACGTGACGCCTCGCCTGCAGCGTAGCCTGGCATGTCTCAATCATAGCCGTCCACTCTTGACGCGATTCGACGGGAGGGCCGACCCCACTTCCCGATCTGCGTCGGACGGACGATGTCACGTGGGGCTCGTCGCCCCGTCACGCCGTGGCCTCCGTGCGGGCGCGTGTCGGTCGGGGGGGCGCGCGCGCGTCACCGTTGCCCGGGCTCAGCCTGTGACTTATTTAGCTGTTGGTTCGAAGAGGGATCGCGACCCTTTCGGTGAACACAGCGCAGCTCGGGACCGAGCACCGCGTGTAGACAGGTGGCCCGTCATCCATTCTTCTACGTGCGTGGCAGAAATTCATTGGAGGATACGGTGGTTGCCGTCGGAAACGCTGCATCAGGTTCTTCTCCTGGATCCGTTTCGATGTATTAATTTACATGCGCTTTTCTCGCCCAGGATTCTGCGTCGGAACCTGTCAAGGGTACGACCTCGATTCCTGACACGCTCAAGCTACGTATTCCGTCGGCAAACGCGGTCCATGTTGATGTATAGGCAATCGCATTGACACGTGTAAAACGTAATCGAGGGGAGAAAGAGAACCCAACCCATGACCATGATTGTGAGAGAGAGAGAGAGAGAGAGGGAGAGAGATCATTAAATGGGGAGACGCAACGTCAGTGCTTGATGTATTACAGTTGGGTAGCATGAGAACCAGCTCGGCTTCTATGCTTGGTTTTGTTGTCTTCTTCAACTTGCTGTCTTCTACACGACAAACCACTGAGAGACCGAAGTCGAGAAGTGCATGAAACGACCGCTGCCGGCTTCGTCCCACTGTATAAATCTTGCTAATTTCTTCTTCCTCTCTGGCACGTATGATTGAGGAGGGGAGACCTGTCGTTTGCTCCTAAGCATGGGGAAGGGCTTCCGTCTCCGGCTATGGCGCGCGTTCCCTGGGTTCAAGAGCTGCCGTTCCAAGGATGCTGCTGCCTCCTCCCCCGTGTACCGTCTCTCTCGCGTCGGCTCAGATGGTTTCGATGTCGAGCTGCAGCTGGCCGATCACCACCGCCATCGCCACCCTCCCTTGATCTCCTCTCGGTGCTGCCGCCCCTGGCGATTCCGCTCGCCGCTGGCTTCAGCTGCAAGGAAGGGTGCCGAAGCTGATGATCTCCCCCTGGCCAGGGAGACGCCGGGTTATCTCTGGAGGGAGGAGGAGAGGTGGCACGTGGTGGCCACCACCGGCGGCGGGGGCGATGTCCCCTCGTCCCCGCGCCGGAAGATCGACTCCGATGATGGAGGGGCGTTTCTGCGCAAGGCGAACAGGCGGAGGGGAGCTGGCCTCCGGCGGAGGCGGCGGAGGGAGGCCACGAGAAGGAGATGGGGCAATAATTCCTCGGCAGACGAGGACAGCGGGTGGTTCAGCAGCGACGAGGAGAATGAAGAGCGACTGAGCGAGTGTTTCGGTCGGTGCTACGGTGACGGAAGTGAGAAGGAGGAGGAGACGCTGATGTCGTCGACAGACGTGGACTCGTGCGATAATCTTGTCTGGCGGCGGAGGGCGAAGAGGAGCTGGGCGGCGGAGGCGGCAGTGGCGGTGGTGAAGCGGTCGGAGGATCCGAGGGAGGACTTCCGGCAGTCGATGGCGGAGATGGTGGTGGAGAAGAAGATCTTCGATGCCGCAGGGCTGGAGCAGCTGTTGCGCTGCTTTCTGTCCCTCAACTCGAGCCACCACCACGCCGCCATCATCGCCGCCTTCGAGGACATCTGGGCCGCGCTCTGCTCGGCGGCGGGCGTCGGGGCACATGGCTAGGAACTCTCTACGATTGCATCCAGTGCAGCATCTCCAACTCACTGGAAGAAAGAGCGATGGTTGGCTCTATATATAGTATATATCTTTCAAAACATGAGACAATTATCTCGCTTGTCAAATAGATCTTCTTCTTCTCCTTTGCTAATGAGACGCTTGAGGAATGCCTTTAATTGTTTGGTACATTTCCATGTCTTCATGGTAAAGGCGACATACAAATATAAGAAGACAATGGAGACTGTTTATGACACGTATGGTATATTAAAAAAGGTGTTTCTTTTGCTAAAAGAAACATTTATGATGCACACAAAATAAAAATAAAAATAAAAATAAAAAATTAATTGTTTTAGTAAACAAATTATGAACACTGCTAATTTTATCATCACATATATTGCAAATTGTATCATAAAATATTCTATAATTTTGACTAAGAATGAATATAAATGGCATTTTATATCTTAGTGAATGCAATAAGAAATACATATAAAAAACATCATGCATTGTACTATAAGAAGCATGTATGATGCACCAACAAAAAAATTGAATGTATTATCAAGGGCTCTACTCACAAGTTTGGCTGTGATCCAACTGAGAAAAAGCTTCTGCAAGTCAAACAAGTTACATAAATTTGAGTAAAATTGATCAAATAAGTAAACAAAAACAACTGAGAAAAAAGACATGATTGTATGTTCGATAATTCAAATATAAGTTGATGAGGCACGAAATTATGGATGAAGATATGCTAAGGTGTCTAATGCGAACAACAACATAAAGATGAGCTTTTAACATTTCGAACAAATACATGGTATTGGAGAAACAAGTGCAAGGAGAACAATGGAACTCATTACACTAAAAAAGCCGACTCTTGTAGGTCAGATGACTAATCCCCACAACAAAGGTGATCTTCTCCAATCATCTGGAACAAATACAAGCTATTGGAGAAACTATGCAGGGGCTTTTATTCTGTTACATGCACAAAAAAAAGAAAAAGAAAAACTCATTAGACTCGCAAAAAAATAGAAGAGAAAGTCCATGATCTTGTTTTACGTGAGCCAATTACCCAGGCTTATGCTACCACCTTAGCATGGGAATGATCTTTGACATGAGCCAAGTATATGATCTTTCTCTCACAACACCCCCTTGCAGGTGACAATCTCAAAAAACCTACGCCATTTCTCCATTGAATGGATCAACCTGGTGCTGGCTTTAGCACCTAAAAGATATTTGATGCAGTCTCTAGCAAGACGGATCAGTTCCTCGCCACGGGTTATAAGGGTATACTGCAGTACCAAAACGATAAGCATCATTCAATATGTTCCTGAACCGAATAATGAAGAACACCATGCATACATAAACCTCGTGTGGACATTTAGTATTGCATAAGCCTACAAAATTATTAATCCAGAGGACAATAAAAAACATGCAAAAATTCAAACATAAAGGTGGAGCTGCAGGGTGCAGACAGATCAATTTAATTCTCTATGTGTTTATTCGCACATGCATAAACAATGTTTGATGAAGTCCGCTGGTGCAAATGATCTTCTGCATAGGCCAGATCCAAACTTCTTTTCAAATTTCCATATCAGATACACATTTACTATCACAGTACATTGCAACAATAAATGTATAAAACTAATATATATGATGATTCATATTACAACTTTTATTTGCAACAATTTTAGCCGAGCAACAGAACGTGAGGTGGATCCGGAGTTTGAGCTAAGGCACACAGTTGAAGCTTTGATGATGGGTGCAGAACTTGATCTTAAATTTCCATTTAGATGAGATGCAGGTCACAGTCTGTCTTGGACCATATGTCATAAATAAGAAGGCCAAATGGATAGAAACTCAAACCTTTTACCTGATAGCAAAGTTGACTATGAAATTCTTAGCTCATCATAATGAGGATCCTCCCATTTATTTACCTAGAAATATCATTTGAACTAATTGGGAGGTATAATAAGTTAATTAGGCCTTGCCGAACTGCTAAACAAATTTTATTGCAACTAAACAGATGAATACAGAAACAACATGCTACAAAGAACAAATGTAAGAGTACAAAAATGAAACACAAATATTTTTAACATGTTCTTTTTCTTTGTTAGGGGTCATGAGAGTCACGAGGAAAAGATGAAGTTGTTCATATAATCAAAGCTCAGCAACTACTGAAAATATTTTCTAAAATTGGACACTTAAAATGAGAAAAAAGACCTCTTAGTTATGAAAAACATGTATTGTACAGAGAAGAAGAAGACTAGAATTGATTACCAGAAATATTACACCAATAGTTGCCATGATCACTTGAAAGAGTTCATCAAATTGTCCTGCAGACCCTTCGGTCTCTGGACCACCCGAAGGATCACCATCACCCCCATACGAATTCCCATAACCTCCGTTTCCACCAAATTGTCTTCCCTTCATCCACTCCCTCAACAAGTCCTGCACAGTTAGCTCTCTTCTAAAATTGCCTGTAGCTTTCTTTGGTGATTCCAATGAAAAAGGCTGCATAAAATAAACATGTCAGGTAAACTGAAAGACATTAAAAAAACCAAATGGGTTTCCAATATTTACCTAGAAAATTTAAAATTAAGCTACAGTATAATTCTTAAGTTTCGGCATAAATTTCTGCTTACTCAGCACTTGTCCAGTTAAGGGAGAAGAATAAAAAATGAAAAAAATAGTATCATAATACTAACTCATAGTTAAATACTGGAGGGGGATATTTTCGCAAGGTGGCAAATGAAAAGGCACCACGCAATGTCCCTAACAATGTGAATATAGGAAAACTAAGAAAAATTTCCAAAAAGATAAAAAATCTTTCATGATGAAAGTCTGCCAGCAGTGTCCTTCAAACAAAACCATGCTATGAATTGGTACATTTTCTGTATTCTGTAATGTGCTCACATAAAAAAGTCATTATGTGCTTGGCATAAGGCTCGACGCTGCATGGCATAGCACGTGACACATCACATGCCGTGCAATGATTACAGACGATGCAATTATCTTATGTAAGTTTAAAATATAAATGCACAACTAAAGAACATAATAAAGCAACCAACCTCATTTTCACTCTTAGAGTCCCCATTTTTGCCAAATGCATGCACTGAAGCTTCATTCTTCAGGGCATCATAAACAAATCTTGGGTACAGCTTGTCTTGCCGGAGACCAAATGGTGGAGAAACATGTAAACATGTAGCTTTCATCTTCCTTGCAGTACTGAAAGAAGAGGTTCTGACATTTCTTGCAGTGGGTCCAATCAGAGAGACCACTCTATTAGCAGAGAAATTATATTGAAGGGTATTCATCTTTAACCAGAAACCAAATCCAGTACTCTTCAGAAGTTAGCAAGCCTGTGAAGTTAACAAAGGGTCACCTGGTTACTAGGATTATAAATCCATGTACAAACTCGTTAACTCTAGTGTGCAATCATCATCTATTTTCTTCTTTTAGTACTTTTATTTTGGCAATACTACAAAAATCAATGCATTCCTCTAATTTGAGCTCCTTAAGTCTTTTTAACTATTGAATATCCATCAATGTTTCATGGTAATTATTATTGCATCTAAAATCCCTTTCTTTTTTTCTTAGTTCTTACATAATCATTTTTTTACTGTTTGTCCTCTAAATACTGCACAAAACTCATATTTTATTAATGCTCTTTATCTAAGCAGAATAGAAATTTTACCAATATTAGTTTACAGATAAACAAAATACCTAGAATTTAGATTATAGGAAAGCCGGGACACTATAAACATAGAGATTTAATATTACCTAACACATCCAGGGTTTTTCATTATACTTCCAGTGAGACATATTGGCATGAAATTTGTACTTGCACGAACCCTATATCATCGTAGTACGACAAGTCTATGCATCTCGTGGGAGGAACACACAGATCATAGATAGGAATTCAGATAAAAAATAGCTAAGTGACAGTCTTTGATACCAAGAAGTGCAACGAAAATTAAAAGATAATTTTACCAATAGAAAAAAAAAAAGCTTATGATCAATTATGTACGAATCTCTATGATCCTAAAAATTTCCCATGTTTCTCATTTGCATGCACGAATATTTTGGGTGCCGACAAACACGAACACAAATTCAACTGAAGCATCAACACACAAATTTGTAATACAGAGTTGGAACCCCTTCTTTCTTCCGGCCCTTCGTATCTAGACCATATGATTGTTTCGCTCATGGAGCTCCAGTGCAACGATTACCACGAAAGCATTTCTATTAAAGCAAAATTCAACAGAGTTCTCGCTTCATTTGATTTCTTCTGATCACTCACAAGATTAAACACCAAGAAATACAACAAGATGAGACTAAGAAGGATTCGAAACGAAAAAGAGAAGAGAGGGTAACGAGGACGGAAGAATTACCTATTCGAGGGTTCCATCGTGGCTTCGATGCCGGAGGGCCGGAGCTCGATCAATGGATTTATAGCCAGCCCAAAACCTAGTATCTTCCAGAAGAGCGGTTTGACTCGACCCGGGTTTGATTGGCGTAAAATTTTATTTATAGACCGAGTCAGCCATGAAAATTCCATGGGTGAAGTGTTGCCCTCCTTAGCTCCAGCAAGATCGCAGCTGTGAGTCCACATCGGTCCCTGAAGAGTTCCAGGGTGATTCCATCAGTAGTCACCGATGTACTGATGCCTTTGCGGCCCGGCCTGGTTCGGCTTGTTTCACATGACATAGCCCGTTATCGACCCGTTTTACCTTTAATGGTCCTTCGGCGTTGGGATTTAGCTTTTTCAGCTTTAAGATTTGTACTTACGGCTTCGGTCTTTAGGATTCGGGCTTTCGACTTTTAAATTTACGATTTCACCCTTAAGGTTTCGCAGTGGCGTCGAACAACCAAAATCCATAATATATAGCTATAATTAATATTATTTAATTTGAGATAAAAAAATAATATTTTAGATACTAACTATAATTAATTAATCTGAAAAATAGTTATTTCGGAGGGATATATGCAATTTCGGCGTCGCCGACACGCCTTTGTAATTAGAAGACGATCGGCAGAGTATCGTATTTCGTATCGGCTCCGATATTTCGTCCTTTAATACCGGACAAAGAATTAGGGCTTCGTTGTTCTTTGGACGGCTCCCCTAAACCCTCCCTCCTCCCACCCTTCTCCCCGTCGGCGTTGTGCTCGATTATGTTGGACATCAATCTTTTTCGGGCGGAGAAGGGCTTCGACCCCGAGCTCGTCCGCGAGTCTCAGCGTCGCCGGTTCGCCAGCGTCGAGGTCGTCGAGGAGATCATCCACCTCGACAGAGAATGGCGCCAGCGTACTGATCTCGATTTGTCTTTTTTGGATCTGCTTCGAAGTTCTGCTTGTTTCTTGATCGATTGTAGGTTCTTTTTTTTTTCTTGATTTCTTGCGGTCAGGCCAATTTGAGCTCGATGGGCTGAGGCGGGACGCCAATCGCCTCACTAAGGAGGTCAAAAATCTCAAAATTGTGAGTTCTGCGGCACAGAATTGCGTGTTCTGCCATTGTTCCTGTGGCTTTGGATCAATTTGATGGAAAAGTTCGTTTCTTTTGTTAAATAGGCAGGGAAAGATGCGACGGAGGTGATAAGTAGCACGGAGGAGACCAAAAAGCTGATAGCGGCGAAGGAGTTGGAGGTCCAGGAGGCGAAGGCTACACTGGATTCAAAACTCGAGACTATCGGCAACCTCATTCATGACTCTGTTCCAGTTAGCAATGATGAGGTGTGGAGATAATGCTTTCGGTGCTGTTGTATGTTCGATGGGAAATTTGTGTTAACTATTGATCCTTTTTGCAGGCAGAGAATGCAGTAATTCGGACTTGGGGGGAGAAACGGACGGAAGGGAAGTTGAAAATTCATGTGGACCTGGTCAAGCTCCTTGACATTGTAGATTTGGACAAGGGTATTCTTTTACACTACTACAGTCGTAGACATGAATATTAGATGCATTTTGTAGGTCTGGCTAGTAAATCTAAACCATTTCCCTTTTTTGTTCTTGAGCCATTTCCTTTGAGAAGGTTGAATATCATGTGTTTCCAGCTTCATATTGTTATGGCACGTACGCTTGCACATTTATTTGTCTCCCTTATTAGACACCTCTCGGTATATTCATATATGTATAATATCCTATCCACTCGATGGCACGTAATTTATGTTCTTACAAACCATTTGTATTTTGGAATATGGAGACAAATATCATAATGCCATGACAAGCTTCTGATCAACAACATTATCATCTGGTGACATGACTTGTAATCATAGCGTCATGACTGCGACTGCCCTCTAATCAAAAAAAGGATTGTCATCCATTAATGTGACATGCAATTTTCTTGCTTTTGATAGGTGCTGATGTTGCTGGTGGAAGAGGTTTCTATCTGAAGGGAGCGGGCGTCTTGTTGAATTTGGCGTTGATTAACTATGGTTTGGCATTTTTGAGAAGCAGAAATTACCAACCAATGCAGACTCCTTTTTTCATGCGGAAAGATATAATGGCAAAATGTGCTCAATTGGCTCAATTTGATGAAGAACTTTACAAGGCAAGTATCTTAACATCTCGAATAAGATGCGCCTCATTAAATAAGCAAGTTGCACATGAGTTATAGCTTCATTTAGCATTTTTTTTATACCATGTCCGGAGTTATATCTTGATGAAGATCAGAACATCACATAGATTGCTTTGTTCTTTATTTTATTAGGATCTTCTTGTCATCGGGAATAGGAGGAAGGCACAAAAGACCATTAGAAGGCAACAAATGGCTAAAATTATTTTGTCTAGAAAAATGTTTTATATTGGAAAGATAATTCAGTGTGCTCTTCTCCTTCTGCTTACACTCCGCTTTATTTATTATCCTTCTTTCATTTATGGTCTCATTTTTTGTTATATTTTCTAGACTGCTGCTACATTGTTTGTTTTGGTTACTCCTATACACATCCTCTTCCTTTCCTTTTCTGTCTTGCTTTGTTTGCTCTGCACCGATGTTGATGTTGCAATTTTGATTTTGCTTCTTTTCTTCTTCTTTTTTTGTTGTGTCAAATAGGCATTGTTGCTTTTACTTTGTTTTTGCTGCAAGATTGCATCGGCCACCGTTGTTGTTCTTTTTTTTGCATTTGTCATTGAATTGCATTTTCCTACTTATGCAGGATATAAATCTACCATCTGAGCTGATTAGTTAAAATTATATGAGAAGGAATCTATACTATGATTCCTGTTTTCATAAAATTTTAACATCATTTTTTACATTAATTAAAACGTTAAGTGCAGTTTGCTTAAGCATGGTGTTGCCTTGCCACAATCCTAACACCTAGGCTCTGAGTGACCTTAGAACCTGTTTGCTTAAGCATGGAGTAGCATATAAAAATACCTACTCCTTACAAGGTATTAATATCATAGAAGATCACTTTCTACCAAGCAGGTGGTCTTGTTTTAAGTTGTAAGTTAATATAATCAATCCCCAAATTAGCAAATGCAGCTTGTTCTTTCTATTCTCTACAATCTTAACAGAGCCTGCTTAGTTTCAGTGGACCCTTCACTACATTTTTGTCTTCATTCTTGTCAGGCCCTGCTACATGTTCAAATCGTTGTAGCGTGGCCATACTATTTTTGCCTCACACTTTTGCAGTTGTTCCTGAAATTTGTGACTTCTGCATTCGCCTGTATGTTAATTGATAACAGTTGGTTAATATTTGAATTTTTTGATGCTATCAAATTGTTGTGGAGATGTTACTTGGTAGTGGTTTTGATGACTGGATGGTTTTGAAGGAGGTGGCAGTTGTGGTTGTAGTCATAACTAGATTGCTACAGTGGTGGAGTGGAGGCCATGGCAATGGTCGTAGCAGATGGTGGTGGTGGGTGAAGGTAGCAGTTGCGGTAGTTAGATTTTTGTGGAGAGATGTTGCTGTGACGATGGACCTGTGGCGTCAAAGGAATGGAATGGTGTAGAGGTGACCATGTAGATGGTGATGTTGAGCTGTGGTCATAGGGGGGACTATAATGACCCGAGCCTGATGGGCTAACTAGCCTATCAACTTCGTTTGGTCTAAACCACTGACCAAAATGCTTAAGCTTAAGTTGATAGTAGTACACTCATCAGACCCTTATAAGTCAATCTTAGTCTTGCCCACTTTCGATGTGGAACTAATCAGGGATGTTACAATCACCCTCACTCAAAGACTTGACGTCCTCGTCAAGCTCCAACATAACCCAGATCAAACCCTAGCATAGTGCATGTGAGGTGTAGCCCAGTGGTGGCTCCACGCCGTGACGAGTCCTCTAACTCTATCTAAGGTAGCCCTTTCCTACTCGAGCCCCCTCGCTATGCTCAAATGCTAGGTCGGCTCTGATACCAAATATAATGACCCGAGCCTGATGGGCTAACTAGCCTATCAACTTCATTTGGTCTAAACCACTGACCAAAATACTTAAGCTGAAGTTGATAGTAGTACACTCATCAGACCCTTATAAGTCAATCTTAGTCTTGCCCACTTTCGATGTGGGACTAATCAGGGATGTTACAGGGACTATATTTACATTTGAAATATTTGATTTATATTGAAATTATGAACATGTTGGGATATCAGCAGAAATAATGCATACTGGAAGAGATCATAAAATACAACCACAATAACATTGGCAGCTTATCATTGATATCGATCAATTTGCAGTTGTTTCTTTCGTAAATACGGAAGAGGCTTGGGATGGTATCTTTTTAAATAATTAGGTTCCAGTTGGATATATGTTTTCCCAGAGTTTAAAATATATTGTAATGTCCATTTAAAGTTGATTTTTTTTTTTTTTTGTCATTGGACTGATTTTTTTTTAATTTAACCACATTATATGAGTCTAATGGTAAGCACTGCAAATATCTAAAACCACAAAGATTGACATGCTTTATTTTTCATGTTTTTTTCTCGCTGCCTGTATGTGATTGACATGAGATGATGACATCATGGTATTAATTTAATTTTGCCAGGTTACGGGTGAAGGAGATGACAAATATCTGATTGCCACTGCTGAACAACCATTGTGTGCATACCATCTAAATGATCGAATTTATCCTCAAGATCTTCCCGTACGGTATGATGAGTTTTGCGATACCATACTATAAAATTTTGCAACTCGTCTGCACAGACTATAAAATTTCATTTGATTAATGATATTATTTTTGTTGTGTATTAGATATGCTGGGTATTCAACCTGCTTCCGGAAGGAAGCTGGTTCACATGGTCGAGACACATTGGGTATTTTCAGAGTCCACCAATTTGAAAAAGTAGAGCAGTTCTGCATCACTAGTCCGAATGGTAGCGACTCGTGGGAGATGCACGAAGAAATGCTGAAGAATTCAGAGGATTTCTATAAGGAGGTCTATTTTTGTGAAGCTTCTCTTTTTTTTATGTATTCCTGTTAGGCATGTGAAAACTTTTTTGGATTACTTTCTTTCAGCTGAACATTCCCTATCAAGTTGTTGCCATAGTTTCCGGTGCCTTGAATGATGCAGCAGCTAAGAAGTATGATTTGGAAGGGTGGTTTCCTGCATCAAAGACATATCGGGAGTTGGTTTCTTGTTCAAATTGCACGGACTACCAATCCAGGAGGCTAGGGATCGGATATGGGCAAAAGAAGGCAAGACACCGATAACTGCTTTTTTTACTCTATCTGTCTTTTTTTTATTCATGAAAAGACAAAATATAACTCATCATGCATCCAATATTTTGTTGATTTAAGGTTTATTATGTATGAAAATTGGCACTAAATTATTTCTGCTTGGTGTCTTTTGGCAGAATGATGAGCAATCAAAGCAGTATGTCCATATGTTAAATTCTACTTTAACGGCAACTGAAAGGACTATTTGTTGCATTTTGGAGAACTATCAGACCGAACATGGAGTTGAAATTCCAAAAGTCTTACAACCCTACATGGGTGGCATAGAATTCCTTAGCTTCAAGACAGAACCTGAAGCCAAAACAAAAAAGTCTAAAGCCAAGGTAGGTTTAATTTTGCCCCCCATTTATTTTATCCAGACAAATGCTCTGTTTAACCAACACCAATTAGGCTAAGTTTTTTCCCTCCCTACTGGTATTGAACAGGAAAATGCTGGGCCACAAGCAGGCAAGTAAATTTACGCAGGCATGACATGAGTACCATTCAGAGCCTAGTGGTGTTGAGATTTTTGGAATCTTTGGTGATTACATTGTTGACTATTTTGATGCGCATTGATTTTGTCAAGAAGTTGGAATCCTGATATAAGAGAGATTGGTAGTTAAACATTTCAACACAATGAACATGCATATGATTAATTAATTATCAAGCCTGGACAAGTTTCGTTGACCCTGAAGTGAAATTTTTTATATATGCTTCTCAAAGCTCTTCTTTTCATAGTGCAGAGATTGGATCCGATGTCACGCTTGTTTATGTTACATGTTTTCCTTGATATCCTCTGTATTGATGGTTGTACACAGTCTTATGATATTTGCTACTGCATTTTGATTTCTCTTCATGATTTCATGTTACAAAAAGGCATTCCAATGTATCATTGTTTCTACTCTCAAGCAAAAAAAGTTTATTTAGTTTCTTATCGTATAGATTGCAAATGTTGATTTTATATTTATTGTCTTAGTGAGTCTTAACTGTGGAGAGTTTATTGCTTTCTCAGAGTTTGTGGCGTTCAACTCCACAGTACCTTTGACCGGTAAGGATGGTTGGAAACCTTTTAAGGAGGTTGATGTTGTGGTAGGCGCTGTTGCCGTGCGCTTCATGTCAGATTAAATGGACAGAAAAGAACTTATTATCCAACAGTTTAATTTATATGAAAAAGATATAGAAAAGAGGGTTTAACTATGCATGATTCAAATTATTCGGATAATAATATTAAGATAAATTAAATGGGATGTATGCACGAACACCGCACATTGGCAACTGCGGATGACTTAGAACTAATAAATATTAATTTGATCCCACTTGGAATCAGAAAAAGAGGTCTCTTTCCGCTGGCATTTCTCATTATTAAATGCACCAATAAAAGCAGTCTTTTTATTATTGTAAAAGCTAAATTCTAATTATTTGTTTTACTCCTTTTTAATTAATTAATTAATTAATTAATTAAAGAGAATAGTGGCAGAGAGGGACTCGCTGTGGAGAAAGCTGTGTCAGCTCCAAATCCTGAGAGATTTCTCGTCTCTCCCTTTCCATCTCTCTAGCGTCTGATATCTCCCATTCCAGTGCATTGGCCGTTCTTTGCTTCTCTTTGTGGATTCTTTCTTTGTCCGTCCGTGTTTGTTTGGTTGGTTCTTGAGGAGAGAGTTGGACCAGTTGGTGGTGTCCTCTTTGCCCATCGAAATGGCCGTTCTCCATGTAGCCGGCGGTGGCCTCCTCCGTTGCTGAGTCGGTTCTCCTTGGAGAGGAGGGTAAGTTCTCTCTCTCTCTCTCTCTCTCTCTGCTGAAGGTAATCGTCTCTCTAAGTAAAAAGTGGTTCTCGGACAGCCGTATGCTTAAAAGTTTGATTTTTTCGTTTTGGGGGGTTTGGGGGGAATAAATCAGTACAAGCATGAAGCTGAATCTTATTTACATAGGATTCTCTGGACCTCACAGCAATGTGGTACTTCTTTATCAGGTGAAGCGCAGGGAGGACTTGTTTGTCCTCTTCCGCTTCCTCCCTCCCGAAATGAATCTGTGACCGAGACTGCTTTTCTTGAACGGATAAATGTGTTTCGAGTTTTATTTTAAGATTTGGCTCTTCATCATTCTCCTCTTCTCAGAAATGTGCGTTGACTGCCGGTTTGTTGGCTGTATCTGAGTCTGTTCGAAGATTTCCAGACATCTTGTGGTAATATTTCCATCTTGATGCTTCTTTCTCCGCCTCGAGATTGCATCTTTTCGACGAAAGAGAATGAAGAAGAAAGATCAGGGAGGTAGATCCACAATTATTTATCAATCTATCTTGATGACTTCCTCTCATCCACCGGCCATGTATGGATTTTCTCGAGTGGTACTCTCAAATGTTGCATACAAGCGGCGTTTCTGTTAATCTCTGTTCCAACAATTGATCTTTTCGTTTCCAGTTGCTGGAGAGTTTAATATGTTGCTACAATCTCATGAAATGTTAGATTCACACTACTGTTTAGTATTTTTAGTGCCAGTTTGTTTGTTTAGTGGCTTTGCCACAGACACTTTGGATTGCACGAGTCTGTTCTAAGAGGAAGATACAGTCTTGTATTGATTCTTGGGTTGCTCATAAGGGTTTCTCCTTGGATCTTGCGTTAGGCCCTTGCCATGCTTGTTGTTGCCTTTTACATGTTATGCCAAGTATCTGATTTAGTTTATTCAAAGATAAAAGAACTAGTTTGATTCGGATATTTTGCAGTCATCAGTGATTTTTCTTTTTCAAAATAAAGGATCTGATGTGATGTAATATGTTCTCCATTCACCACTGCATGTTGTATGTTTCTAGAGTTTCTTTGCTCGTATTTGTTTCTATTATGTGCTGAGAAGGTTTGCTGACTGATTCTTTTCTTTTCAAACTTGAAGGAAGATGAAGTTGACTTCAAAGGAATGGAAGTCTCTCATGTCTCTTTGTTTGCGAGGGAAACCTTCCATCCCTTTCTGTATCTTCCCCAAGGTTCGTTCGGCTAGCCACTCTCCAGGCAGCGCACCAGTTTATCTGAACGTATATGATTTGACACTGATGAATGGTTACATGTACTGGGTAGGCCTTGGGGTATTTCACACAGGGATCGAAGGTGCTGTTATCCGCTCCTTGTTTGTTTAGTTATAACATAAATGATTTCCCACTAAATTCTGTGATTTCCTTTTTGGTTGTTCCTTCTGATTCAACAGAAGTTACTCTTGACCATTAAGTCTCATGAAATAACTACCGATAATATTCTCTGTCAACTGATATTTAATTAGTTACACTTGTTAATTTATCTGTTAATGTGCTTGTAGTACACGGTGTTGAATATGCATTTGGAGCGCATGACTACCCAACAAGTGGGGTCTTTGAAGTTGAGCCTCATCAATGTCCGGGATTCAAGTTTAGGAAATCGATATTGATGGGTACAACTTGTTTAGATCCACGACAAGTTAGAGAGTTTGTGGAGGTACAGTCTGTAAACTACAATGGAGATAGTTACCATTTGATCGTGAAGAACTGCAACCATTTCTGTGAGGACATCATTTATAAGTTGACCGGCAATTCAATTCCAAAATGGGTGAATCGTCTTGCGAGGATAGGTATGTATCTTCTTGATTTCACACTTTTATCTGTACTTTGTGTAATTATAAAATGTAAAATGGTTTGCGATATGTCATGGACGACTTCACCATATTTCTCTACCGCTCAAGCATTTTTTTTTCTGCATCTTCGGTGTATCGGTATTCAATTACTAATTTGCATGATCAACCATATATGCAGCAAAAATTCTTGCAGCAATTAGGGAAATGGATTGGAAGAAATTGGGTTTTCTCTGATAAGTTTTTGACTCAAATTTTTCTCTGTAATTTAGAAGAAAGAGTCCACCTCTTTTGAACACTTGACAGAGCCACAACCAACATGCCAAGTGAAACACGAAACGGTTCCCCATTGGAGTCTTCCTTGCAGGAATTTTGATGGAACTGGTCTACTCGAGTAATTTGTTGGAGATTACCGCAGCAGAGCTGATATTGATCCCTGTGGCTTCTCTTTAGTGAAATCCTTTTAGATTTTTAGCCACTATTTCATGGCACCTGTTCATGGGAAGAGTTCCATAAATTTTGATATATTTAAAGACATACTCTCTTGATTAAGTAGCCAGAGCGGATTTTCGTTCCTTGAACATAATTACAGCTAATGAGAGACTCTTACCAAAACTTTTAGCCAATTTCTCTGACATATTTCACATACATAATCTTTACCTGTTCCTCCGCAGATATCTCAGGGCATAGAAATAAGGTGAACAGATATCTCAGCAAACGAGGTGCTGAAGGTTTCATCAGGGCAAAGAGGGCTTATGCTCCCTAAGTTTAATACTTCAATATACTGTTTCGAGAGTGCCTACAAAGTTCAAAGGATTTTCTATTATATGTACCCTTAACATCTTACCATCTAAAAGTCCGACATTTATTTAAAGTGTTTGAACCCATAACTTAGATCCGGATTCTATGGGCAGTCTACCATGATCAGTCTATCAATGTAATTTCTATCTTGTGTTATATTCTCTTATTCTTTACTTTGTAACATCATCACTCTGAGTAATCATAATTCACTGATGTGGTGTCAGCTTATTCTTCGTTCTATCTTAGCAGTTACTCAGAACAAGTCACCATTAGGTTGAGTGCATATTGTGCAGGCTCCTTCTGCAATTGCCTTCTTCCTGAGGCTTCCAAGATAGCAGCAGCTCCCGAAGACCCCGATTCACCAACCGAGGACGGCGAGAAAAGGAGACTTAGAACTGCTTTCAGTTGCTTATCTTCAATTTCCATGCGTCCAAGACACTTGTCCACACCTTCAGTTTTCTTGCCTTCTTTAAAAGGGTGTTTTCCACCATGGCAGTTCAGGAGGTCCACCGCCCTTCCTTTCAAGGATCATGATGATCAAAATTGTGACTACATCCAAAGAAAAGATCAATAGATGTTTCAGAAATCCTTCTCTCTGCTCGGAAGGTTTTCATGATGATAGGAGCTGAACATAAAAGGCGGAGAACCCCTAAAATATAGTGTTTGCTCTGTTATCGGTGTTGTTTCAACCGTAAAAGCCGACTCTCAACCTTTGTGTAACTCCTCCTGTGTTGTGTTTGAACATTTTGAAATGTATGTATTTTGTCACAGCAGTACCAAGTTTTTGTCGTCAGCTGCTGTTCCCCAAAATTCCAAACCTTCTCTTGTTGTATCTGTACAGCTCTTTTCCTCATAAGCTACTTGGTGTTCTGGATTAATTTGGCTTTGAGATACAAATGCTGTTTGAGCTTAAGCATTCGTGTGTTGCTTGAGATGTGGATGAGCAAATTCTTGGATTCAGGAAGCTCTGTGCCAGTCATTAGATCGGCAGAATCTTTCAGTGGATTGTCATACCAAAGGCAGTAGAACCCTGTAACCTGCTTAGGTTCACAGGGCATGCCATCTCCATTAATCGAACTATATCTTCTTTAAGAGCCCGTAAATGAGTACTTCTCTGGCATGAGTGAATGAGATGGGAGTTGAGACCTGAATGGCATTCCACAATCTACAAGCACATTTCTGCACATAATGCTGCAGCAGCAGCAGAGTCTCATGCGTCGCCATTTCCGGGTAAAGGAAGCATCATCACATGGAGGAAGGCACAGATGGGCGACTGACTTGATCTCTTTGTCGCCCAGATTATGGAAAAGATGGATAAGGTTGAGTTCCGAAGCACTCGTTGGCTGGCAGAAGAAGAAAGAGCATGAGTTAAAACGCTGTCCCCCACACGAAGGCAGCTCATGTGCACTCGCCTTCTCCGGCAACTCGGATAGCCTGTGGCGTCGAGTAAAGGCAGAGATCAGAAGAGCGAGCGTGAGACAAAGATCGAAAAGCCCGGCCGCAACACATGGCATTCCCCTCAATGTGACTGGCTGTTTCTCTGTTGGAAGGCAGCAACGCCCACTGCAAAACCTTCCATCTTTCCCTTTGTCTCTTCCATTCTTTTCAGTACAGAAAGGCCATGACAGCATCAACTCAGGAACAGGCAGTGGTTGCAGAAAGCTCCATTTTCTAGTTTACATGGCCGACTTCTGTTCGTGACTGCGGTAAGCAATGAAGTGGCAGTAAACTAAGAGTGAATGTACAGCTTTGTTGCTTAACACTGATCACCACCTTCTACAACAGTAAACAAGAAGAAGAAGAAGAAGAAGAAGAAGAAGGGAAAGAAGAGAAACAATTACAGGGCAACATCTGCTAGCTATATCATACAACAAAAGTAGACCCCAAAACTGGACATTTCTGTGACTGTTAGTGAGAGAATGGGCTTTGGGGAAGACTAGTAATTTACATGGATTAATCACATAAGGCAGTTTACATACCATAGAAATATGCCCACTCCATCATGGAGTTGTTGAATTCGTACTCCTGTATGTACATCAGCTCAGCTTCCTTCTCGGCCGCTCCGAAGTCTGCAACTACTGGCTGGTAAGTCAAAGTTGATGAGCTGGGACTGCCAATGACCTCGCCGCTACCACCGTTGCCGCCGACGACACCTCCATTTGCCACAAGGGAAAGCTTCCTGATCTCTTCTTCAGCTTCGTGAAGCTTATCTTTCAGCTTCAGCACCTGCCATCATTCGGTTCAGCCGGTGCGATCCAGCATTGGAAGGTGGCTGGGAATTCGAGATCATGTACCTCGGTCTCCAGGTGGCACTTCTCGACGACGGTGGCGTCGTGGATGGACTTGAGCTTGAGATAGGCCTCCTCCACCTGCTTGCTCTTGTGCCGCGCCCGGCGGTTCTGGAACCAAACGGCGACCTGCTTGGGGTCGAGGCCGAGCTCGGCGGCCAGGTGGACCTTCCTCTCGAACTCCAGCTTCTTCTCCTCCCCGAAGCTCGTCTCCAAGAACCTCACCTGCTCGTCGCTCAGCCGCCTCTTCTTCGCGTCGCCTTCCGCCCCCTCGCCCTTCGTCCTCTTCCTCCTCCGACGCACCCTCGTCTCTCCTACCATCGGTAACACAAGCATTAGATAGGAAGTCACGGGAAGAGTGCGAGGAATGAACGGATGAACGAATGAATGGACTAACCCTGAGGCATCTGAGGGTGGAGTTCGGAGGCGAGGAGAAAGGATACGCGCATCTTCTCCTCCTCGTGGCTCATCCCAACCTCGGAGATCATCTCATTGTTCACCATCTCCTATAATGCTCTCTTCCACTGCCCTTCGGTGTTGACTTCAAGAACAGCAACGGCAGTCTTCCTCGACACTCTACGTGAGGAGAAGGAAGGGGGAACTGTTCGACGCCATGGCTACTGTCTCGAGGCTTTTTGTAAGAGACGGCGAACTCGAATGCCCCTAAACCACGATAGAATCTACATAAATGCCATTTCTAGAACACCAGGCGGGCCCCTGTCTCATGTTGACGAAATTACCCCTCCATATGGCCCGGATTCACGTGTCGGATGCGCAGCTGCTCCGAACGTGTCGTGCGTAGAAATCATGCGACAAGGGCAATTTCAGAAATTTTACTGTTCTAATATTTTTAATAATATTATCATTATATTGTTTTCCTATATGAGGTGTCGAGCATGGAATTTTTCTTTTCCCTATATGTTTTCTTAATCATTTTGATAGGAAAAATAATGAGGTAAATATTACGTTATTCACTTGTCACTCGAGCGATGACATACATGAAGAACTCATGCCACACACACCAGTTGCAGTGTGCATTAATCTTTTAGTTTCTTTAGTTTCTTTTTTTGAATGAGTCATCTATCGTAAGCAAGCAACCTGTCTCCCATCGTCAATCATGATTTCAGAAAAACATACACACATATCTGGGATAATTGGGCCACCTCTAAATGCCTGGCATGGGGCATTAATCCATTTCCTTATCTCTGGATGCCTGGCATACGAGACCATCCATTGCTTATCCCAAACAAGCTCCAATCCTAACAAACGGTGCTCTCTCAACTGTCCTTCCCTGACGCTTCCCTCAGAGAAGCGTGCTCTCCAACCGTCGACATAAATGAGTCTCTACACTACGTGAGGGGCTCCTTGACCAACTGCCAACCGTACTCCATCGATCGCTTAGGTATAAAAGTCAGCCCCAAAGCCTAAAGGGGTAAGTATCTCTATTATTTTCACTTCCAACTAATTTTATCATTGGGTGAGTCTAGTCAGAAATATCCATCGACAATGATTGCTTATGCAGAGATCTCGATGAGGTTAAGACACACCTTGGGATGACACCAAATCTATCTTTGGCGAGATTTTGCTTTAGGTTTTCTGCACACCTTGGGATCTTGCTAATCGGATCCGCTCCCCACTCCAGTGTCCTCTCATGACCTCTTATGGATTTTCTGGATAAGCTTGAGCGTTCGAGATCCAACCAAGCTACAACGACCTCACGGTAAACAACATTAAGGCAACACCACCTTTAAAGTAAGGTAAGCTTCAATTTTTTAGTCCATAGATATTGAACGGAGATATCCTTGGATTTGATTTGGGAGATTTTTATATGTGCCTAAACATGTTAATCATCCAATTATTTTCAAGTTTGAAATTAATTTTGGCAAATTTTATGATCAACATGCAAATAAAATGGAATTCCTTAACATTATAATGTCAAATATGAGAAAAAAAAATAGAGGTTAAATAGTCAATCCAAACTTTAGCTACTAGAGATTTAAGTTTGGGATCAATCAGTCAAATGCAAATGCAGTACATGGATAGATGCTTATCCAAAGATAGGCAGATTATTAGATTTCCTTGTATTATAAACGGAGTTGATACTTTGTAGCCAAAGACACTCTACTTGCTGAATTAAATTGGTAAAACTCATACTATATTAATGGTTTTGACTGATACGATAATATTGCTGCTGAAAGTTGAAATGGTTAGATGAAGGCAGGATGCTGAAGTGAGTACAGTGCTTGACAAAGTGGGAGTCAAGTGCACTGGTTAATGTAATTGTGATGATGATGCCAAGAAACATATAGCGCCGTGTTGATCAGCTCATCTTGATGGAGATTAAGTAGGTGGCAAAGTACCCAAACATGTCCTAAAGTGTTTCTTTAAACACCATCACATGACAAAGAAGTGATTGATTAAGATGACAACTCGAAGACTGCTTGCTCGGCCACCTCCATCACAGACACAGCCGAAGCTAGCTGGTGTTCCAACTCCAAGAACAAGGAGCAGGTTGGCAGATAAGTTAAAAGATACAATGGGGGCGGAGAAAAAGGTGGAGGGGGGAGACTTGGAGTCGACGGGCACTCGAGAAGGGCACATGGGGAGCACCTTGGAGGCTTTTAACACTTGTCGCCATGGCTGGGAATGGACCTTCCTCCCCACTTGTCGCCACCTCCTGCCTCCACAACCATGCTCGCTGCTGCATGCAGCCTCTGTGTGTGTGTGTGTGTGTGTTGTGTGTTTGATGATTCGCATCCCATTCCTTCATTAATTATGGTGACTGTGACTTTGATGATGGTGAGATTCGTTGGAGCTCACGCATGGAGGATGAAGAAGCAGCGTCACATTACGTAGGAAAGCTTACGTGAGGCGTCGCATGGCATGTGTATTGCGCAGAATAGTCTGCACGTAGATTCCATGCAATGAATCGAGACAATGCAGCACCGAACGCAAGAAAGGAGACTGGAAAGCTGGGAAGGTTGGCTGTACCCTTTTCCCTCTCTCAGCAGTTCTTATCCTCTTCACATATTATTTCTGGTCACCGTCCTTTGAATTCCTTCCCTGCATCGTCATTCTTTGCACTTGTTATCCTCTAAAATCTATTATCTCGAGCCACCATTATTTGCTGTTGTCTTTCCCTGCTCTGCCACTTCGAGCAATTCTTATCCCCTTAGCCTAATATCTCCACACACTTTCCATGGCATTCTGCCTTTCTGCCACTTCGAGCACTGCCTCCTTGAGCAGTTCTTATCCTCTCAACCTAAAACAACCTTTGCCTTTGCTGGGCTGGCTTCGTGCAACCTTGGAAATGCTTGTCTCTTGCTTCATATGGACTTCAGCTGGCCACGTTTATTGATGTTTTCGCTTTACTCTACGGGGACTAAGCAATGTACAACTGCAGCTCTTCCTTTGTTTTCTTGTGGTTGCTGATGGTGTCGGCATGAGCCAGGGTGTGGGAGTGGTCGACACGCTGGGTACTGTTCTTGACTTGGATTTGATGGTCCCGAAGGATCAGAAGATGACGATGCCATGAAAAGTATGTTGGTGGTGGCCTCCCCATGTTGCGGGTAGAGAAAAGTCGCAGCGATCGGTGCAATGGTGTTGGTGGAGGCGGCGATGTGTCAACCCACCGTTGGCCTCTACATCACATTCTTTGCCTTGTGGACGGACTGACACGATGAAGCACTGCTCATGTGTGCGTCCCCCTCATGCATGCAGTCAGTGGGCGAGACCAAGATGGAGCTTCGAGGACACTTCCCTCGAGTTGTCTTCATGATGTTGTTGGAAGAACTCCATCTATTGATTGGTCGATGCAAGAGCGATACCCGTTTTCCTTGTTCACTACATTCGAGCCTGGACGTAACCTACGCTCCTGGTCAGAATGGAGAACAGTAGTTTCATGCTCCAAGAAGATGAGCCATTGGTGTTGAGAGAGAGAAGAAGAAGATTGATTGAGTGTGAAGGAATTGTAGCTGTGTATAATAAATATCATGATGCTTTTTGTATTGGATTCCCTTTCACATGCAAAGCCCAAACACCTCATTTTTGCCGAGGGTTAAGTCCTTAAACAAAGCTTGTTATGCTTATCCCAGACATCTGTAGTCACTGTTTCCCAATTTCCAACTTTGGGATGCCATGCCAAAGTAAGCATCAAACATTGAATAATGACCCACCAAATCACAAAGTCCAAACTTTATTACCACATCAATGGCTACCAACAAAAGCAATCAGTGCACCTAATCCTACCCCTGCAAGCATCATCATCAAGTTGCTCGATTCTTTATCCTAAACAAAACCCATGCTCCTCGGGAAACACACACAATTAACCACCAGTATATCTTGTTGGTAATCAAATCCATATATTTACATGTTTTTATCTTAAGGTTTATCATGATCATTCATTTTTTTCTTGGAGTTCCTCCAATTGTGCCATGATTTATGCCACTTTTTAGGGATGAGGATCGGTGCCAAAGTCGAGGAGAACCGATTTAGGTGTTTGATTACATTGTCTGATTGCACCTAAACCCTAACTCCACCTCCATCACCAAGGCAAGGTGAGCTTGCTGGTTGGGGACCATGGAACGCACGCAAAGTAGAGAGATAAAGAGAGAGAGAGAGAGAGTGTGTGTGTCCTTTTTATTGTTACTGCAGATTCTTAGCAGCAAAGTCGAGGCCATGGGAGGGATAAATTAATGAACAGGTGATGGATTCTATGCTTAATCACGATGAGAGAAGCATTAAGAATGGCGATCATGGATTGTGGGATCGAAACGTGGCCATCAGCTGATCTCATTTGCGTCGGAGGCTTTGCACAGATTCCAAGCTGTCACTTCCGTGGTTTTGTGGGGAGGAGTAGTTTAATCGGAGCTGCAGTTGCCGCGCTTGGCCTTTTTCTTATGGACATGTCAACACAAGGACAAATGGATGGTGCGCTGCTGCTGCTGCTGCTGCTGCTGCTGTCTTCTTTCCCTAAGAATCGGGTTCTTCTCGGTCACATCTCAGTTCCGAGAGCTTGCTTTCACAGATGTGTTTGAAGTTGACATGCCTTGAGAAACAAGTAGTGTGATTTCTACTTCTAAACAGGTACTGCATGCAGCAAACTTTCAGCTGCTTGCATTCCAAGAAATTCTACTGCTGACACTGTGAAGGATAGCATCAGAACTGACCATTTCAATGCGAAGCAGATAGCTGAGATGTGTTTGCTACCAACCTGTAAATGGCTGTCATGGGGGAAGTGAAGCATTCGAATGTGCTTCCATCGTAAATTCTCTTTCCTAAGAAGAGTACTGTTTCATTTGACCCCTCTCTCGAAGCTGGACTGCCAAAGTGATCACCATGGCACTGCAAATTGCTGAGCTTTGTGAAGGTATTAACTTGTTGAGATGACAGGGGGTACACTGAAATGGACGATGAAGTGGACTTGCAGCTTCCATCTCAGCTATATGTTTCTTACATTGATTTTTCATGTCATGATCATTAAGACTCTTCAGCACCATTCTACATTGTGCGCTTGAAGCAGGCCTTACCTGTTGATGCAGACATCCACAAAAGCTTCGGGATTGATCAGAAACAGAGGAAACCTTTTCTAATTACAACTTCCTTCACAGCTTTCTAAAACTGCTAAATCTAATGAAACAAAAAAGAAAGTTGCATCAATCACTAGCAGTTCTCAATCTGGTGTTGAAGTATCAAAACTTACGGAACCATTTACAGTCACAAACAGCCTCACAGCATTACTAGCTGAACTCACATTAGCAAATGCAAGCTTATCGGAGGCAATGAAATATGTAGCTTTCCACGAAGAAGATAAGACTAGCATTCATGTATTATGTGATGTAATCGAGATTAGATCCATAGAGAAATCAATCTTATTTACAGTTTTTGGCACATTGACATCTCAAGTGTAGCTTCCTCAAGTTCCACATCCTGCAGTGGCACATCTCCACTTGAAGCAACTAAGATACGATACGATCGCGACATCATTTTGCGATTTCTTGCGACTCCGAAGGTTTATCAATGGCAATTGCCACTGATTTTTGACTCATCGGCTATTGCCACTGATTCAGAACACCATGATCGAAGCAACGAAAGAATCTGTATCGATGCATCATAATTCAGCAATTCTTGCAAGCGAACTAAACATCGATAACTCAGCAGACTTAGCATTCAGTGCATGAGGATGAAACCAGGAATCACAGAGAACAAACACCTGAGATATTTCACTTTGACACCATGCCTAGCGTTCCCAATTGGAGCTCAAGATCATCCAAACTGACATTATGAATCCTCTCTCCCTGCCTAGGCTTCACTTTCCTCCTCCCGAATTCAAATTCCCTGCCTCCCTTCCCTCTCTCTGACACCTCTCCTCGTGGACAAGTTACCACATTCGATGAAGTGGCAAATGGGTTGACAAAGTTGTAGGTTGGAGATGCTGGAGCTGTCATCTGGAAGTTGATCCACCCGCTTGATCCAACTGATTCATCACCTTCAGATGTTGTATCAGCTTCAGTGTACAGAGAATTGAGAGATGAGAAGAGTTAGACGAAGCTTCAACCCAGTGAATGCATCAAAATGCTTTCCCTTTATTTTTGTTTCTGAAATCTCTGATCAGCCCAGAAATTGTCTTTCAACATGAGATGTTTTTGTTTTCTTTCTGTTTCATGAAACATTCATCAGCTTAAATGACCTCAAGGTTTACTTTCAAGTGATATGTTCTCCAACTTTCTCTTCTCCCTAAAGCAGGATGGAGAGTGGGAAAGAAGAGATACACACTTGGAGTGATGTGAAAGAGAATTATGGCAGTGGAGACACAAACTTCGAGAATCCAAACTTTGATCTTGGCTTGAATGAGTACCTCTAGCAACCACAGAGGAGAAACATAACTAAAGATCTATTTTGTAACAGATAGAACACAAATTAGCTTTCAAATAAAAAGATTGAACTCACAAAACACATTAAATAGGATCTGTAAGGATGAGATCAGTCCATCTTGCATGATTCCAGACGAAGGCTCGTCAAGATCAGAATTTGAGTTCATTTTCATCGACAAAATCACAACTCGTGTGATCTCAGATGATTGTCGACCTTCACAGCCACTACTGATCTCTTGTAATCCAACAGCTTAAAAGAGAGACCAGAGGAAGAAGAAAAGAAGGGGAAAAAAGAACGAAGAGATAGAGACCTTGCGGTAGGTGGTGCCGTCGTCTTTGACGACCCACCCGGCCTCGCGGCAGAGGACCTCGTTACTGTAGCAGGACTTCGGCAGCTTCTAGTTCCCGAGCGTGCACAGCCCGGTCAAAATCTTGGCGGCGGCACCCTCCGCCGCCGCTCCCGTCGCTTGTTGTTCTCCCTCTCCTTCCACGTCGGCAGCCGCCCGCTTCCCGAAGTCATCCCTCTCCTCTCCCCCTCCCCACCCACCACCCGGCCTCAAAATTGCACCTTTCCCTCCTTCACCCTCTGTTCAAGCCCCTCCCTCTCCATTTCACCTCCCAAAATCCTTCCTTTTGGCCATGCAACGCTCCTTGGTGCGAGACGAGTGCAGGAACTTGGCGAAACGGTCAGCCTCTTCCCTTCTCTCTCTCCTCGGACGCAGGAGTCTGCTGAGACCGCTCACGAGAAAGAAAAACTGCGGTCTTCTTTTATTGCAAGGAGATTAAACAGATCGACACGGACTACTCAGCTGCTCTCTCAAATGCTTCTTTCGAGAGAGCTTAGATTTCTCTTCGTTTTGCCCAGGATGGAAGAACGTTAAACCGGTCGATTCCCCCACAAAAGGAAAAAGATTAGTCGATGCTCCGGAGGCCATTAATGGAGGTCTGTTCGTTGTTGGATGAGAAGATCAAACCGAGGCATCTGAAGAACTGTATGGAGTCACTGAGTTGCACAAAATTATTCGGAGTTCTTCCATGGATTAGCACAAAATTATTGTTGCATGAGAGGATTACAACGGAGGCATTTGCAGAAACATGTGGAGCATCAACTGGCTTCAATTCTCTCTTTTAGCATCATTATTGTGGCGCAATCTAACATCTTCCTTCCAAATAAGTCAACATGGAGATCAATCACAGTCTTCCTTTTTATGATTGTTGGTCTGCTCTGCTTATGCTTGTCAGGTAGAAGAGAAGAAGAAATGCTACAGATTTAGGGAGTGGAAACTGATGCCACCACCAATACATTCAAATAGATCTTTAGTTGATAATTGGAATTTATAATTGATATGGGGACAGAATTGGTTAAAAAAAAGTTTAATTTCTTCACATATTCAATTGGATGAAGTTTTCACAAAAGTCTTTTTTTTTTGTTTTATTACTTTTTTACAAGACAGTGCCTCTCTTCATGTTTTCAAAAAAAAAAAAATCCTTTATTCCTCATAATTTCTGAAATATTCCTCCATAAAATAATTGGTTCATAGGATGAATTGATATAATCTTATATAATAAGATTTACATGTTACATATTTTGAGTTTTTAGAAAGCTTATGAAAACATTAGAAGTCTATTTAAAAATATTTAAATGTATACAAATTAACTCATATAATAAGTGCTTTTAGAAACAATAATAACTTTTTGAATTTTATTTTTATTAAAATGTTTTTGAATAAATTTTAAATAATTAAAAATATTTTTTATGTTTATTTTGAAATATATTATAATTGAGATTAAAAATATAAAAACACATACCTCTAGAAAAAAAAATCCAAAAAGGGAGTTGTTTTGGTATCAGAATTGAAATTTTATTAAGGATTATGAGTTGCTTTCATAAGTGAAATTTCTTTCATCAAATAAGCAAAATTGCATATATCTAAAGTTTAGTTTACCAAATATATCCCTGCAGAAGCTGCATATATACATCAATACCCTGATAGCGATAGACGGCGTATCACGGCCGTACACCTCAGTCGCGTCAATTGATGTTTGCTGTGTGAAAGAAACCAGCCGATTTCCGAGCCGTCCGGTTCGTAACTGACGACCGGTTTTTGGCGAGTCTTCCGTTTCCCGTCGCCTCCGCAGAACCCTAGTGGCAGCCGGCGGCAATGGCGAAGCTTTACCCCGCCCCCCTCTCTGCCATCGTCCTCGTCCTCTTGGCCTCCAGACTCTGCCTTCCTTGCGACGCCTTCTCCGCTGACCGTCTTACAGATCGGCGGCTCCTCGTCCTGGTCGACGACCTTGCTGTCCGGTCCTCCCACTCCCGATTCTTCTCCTCCCTCCGGTCCCGAGGGTACGAGCCCGACTTCAAGCTCACCGATGACCCGTCTCTCGCGTGCTCCGCCGGTACGGGCAGTACCTCTACGACGGCCTCATCCTCTTCTCACCGTCCGTCCAACGTAAATAACCCTCACTCTGTTTGATTTTTGGTCAAGCACTACAATTTTTCTTCATCTTTGGCATCAGATGCGAGGCGAATTGCGTAAAATTTTTGAAATCTGTGTAGGTTTTGGTGGATCGCTGGACCTAGCGGCGGTTCTGGATTTCGTTGACGCGGGGCATGATTTGATTTTGGCGGCAGACTCCTCTGCTTCCGACTTGATGCGGGAGATCGCGACCGACTGTGGGGTCGATTTCGATGAGGCAAGTTGACACACACATGAACATGAGGTACTTCTTTTTGTTTGGTCATCTATATCTTGATTTCTGTTCAGGACGCCACTGCCATGGTTATTGATCACACTAGCTATGCAGTCTCTGAGACAGAAGGTGACCATACGTTGATTTCTTCTGATGATTTCATCAAGTCCGATGTGATTCTGGGTGACAGGATGATCGAGGTAAAATAGTTTGTTTCTCTCCTTGTGTGGGTATTTGGACATTCTGTTTTCAGTTTTAGATGATGAAAAGGAAGCAATATATCTTGACTTCTTGACTAAATGATACTAAGATCTCGGAAGCGTTTCATTTGTTTTTGGTGATGAGGCACACAACACTGATAAGAGGGCTACATAAAAGGCTGCATTTCATCACCTTTTGTTAGTAACTTTGGAATGCACCTTCTGTTTGTTCTATTTAAATCTTAAGCCTTTTATAGTATGCTTATTAAAATCTTTTGTCACAATTTTTTCATTTTGTTTCCTGTGAGTACCTCAAATTAAATCCCCAGTCACATTTGACAATCCTCTTTAGATATATTTTATAAGTGATTAAATAAATTTCCTGCTATACTTTTTTTTCCGTATCCTTCTCTATCTGTATTGTCCAAATCTGTGCACCTTGATAAATTACTTTAGCCCTCTTTTCGCCGTTCAAAGTTTGAAACATTAAGCATTAGTAGATGCAGTTGTTGCTATTGAGATCTTAATTTGTCTAATATATTATTTTGGTATCACAATACAAATATCTCACCTTAACCATTGTGCTCCAGATGCATAGGTGCACCTCATCTGGACTTATGATGATGTTTTGTCCCTGTGATCACAGTACATGATTCAAACTACAAGAACAAGCATGAGCAATATATGGTTAAAAAAAAATCAAAGAAAATCCAAGTCAAATATCATTCTTCTGGAATCCATCATAGAAATAATTCAATAATCAAGTCGACATACAAAAAAAAAATTATGGTGCCCAGCAACATTGCTTATCTTTTGTGTTTTTGTACTAGTAAAAAGTAAAAAGTATAATACTAGTAAAACACATGTTTGATAGTCTTTTTTTTTATTACTTTCAGAAAGTACTTGTATAAGATTCCAACATTTTAGTACTAGAAGCTGTCTACTATAAAAATTTATAAAAACAAAATATTTGTTCTGTTGAGAAAGTTTGGATATTTGGTGTTTTTTTGGTCTATGTCCAACAAGATGGTGAGGAGAAATTAGATTGGCAAATTGGATCTCTTGTTTGCAGACCTTTTCCAAAATATGTGAACATGTTTTAGTTCTGTGTTTGCCAAACATTTAGCACAATTGTTTCTGATTTAGTTCAACATATACCCAACAATTCAGCAAAAGAATATGTTAGATGCCTAAACCCTCAACCCTGAACCATGATCCTAAATTCAAAACCATGTTTCTGATGTATTCCCCAGTCTCCACATGTACATCTACAAATCCATGTTAGATGCTTGTCCTTGGGATTTTTGGGTAGGACCTGATGGTCAGTGCCCACCGAAGGCATATAAAGATTTGGATGGTCATCATATGGTATGTTTTTGCTGGTAGGAGGAATCTTTTTTGAGGGATGAAGAAGTTTACAATAAGAAATTATAGTAAAACTCATGAGATAATACAAAGAAGTTTAAAGCTACTAGCATACTATCAGATTACACTAAGTCAACATTGTGCATTAATAGGTCTTTTTTCTCCTCAAGCCTCATGGGAAGGCTCAGTTAAGACATGCAGATGGCAAAATGCATTATGAAATTCCATGCAGTCCAGTGAAGTTCCTCGGTGAAGGTTGCTTTCCAGCTGGTGGTCCATCTTCAGATTTCCTCTTGAGCCTGTGGTATAATTTCTTTTGTGATGGTGGATGATATAATGATGTGTTTGCTTTGTAAGATGCTCTAAGACACTAAAATAGTGCGTAATATAGCTTATTGCCCATTATTAATCAATGACCAGCTGGCTGCTTCTTTTTTAATTACTTAACATCATTATTCTTCACTATGTTCTCTGTCTCTGACACTTTTTATTGCACAGGGTCTTGTTCTCTTCCGAGGCATTGGCCACTCACTACATGCTGCTAATAGCTTGGTAAAATCTTCCTGTTTTCTTTTGCTGATTCCAGTTCAATGACTTTAGTATATCACTGGTTTTATTTGTCAGTTTACCTTGTTAATAGCAATTACCATTTACTGAGCCAGAAAGTATGCTCCAGGTGTTGAAAGTTCTTTCTGCCTCTCCTGCTGCATATTCTGCAAATCCATCGGCAAAGCTTTCACGGCCTTCCTCACTTACAGGATCTGCAACATCATTAGTTTCTATAGTGCAGGTAGTAATGTGCTTCAGTTTATTGTTAACTGATGTATTACTTGTCCTCCAACTATGGCGTACTGAGTAACTGAACTATTATGTTATATCACTTTCACAGATTCAGGTGTCATATTTTTTCGCTATATTCATTCTTTCTGATCTAAGTTTTTTGGAAGCAAAATTTTCTCCAAGCTATGCCAGTATATTTTGTAGTTATAGTAACCTAGGTTCATGTGATTTCTAGCAGTATATTCAAATCTTCTGTAGTTTTGGATGAACGGAAAGGTATTGCCCCAATGATTTGGAAAGAGCTACAGTGTTGAAGCAGTAAAAAAC